GTTGGCGCTCTCGACTTTGCCGGAACTTTCAACAGGTACGTGTTTCGCAACGCTGTTCTGGAGAGTTGTGCTAATATGAGATTACAGCGTCGTCATGAACAAACTCCAAGACGTTCGAGGCGGGTCCAACGTGCAGACTACCTCGACCAATTCAACCATCTGCGAGCTCTTCGACCAGGCTCATGACAATGGTGTTATCAAGGGTGTCAATACCTGCCTGACCAGCAAGGCCAACCCCGAAACCAACCCCTCTGCCACCAGCGGTGGTACCTCGTCCACTTCGACCAGCGGCTCGGATAGCGGTAGCAGCAGCAATGCGGCAGTTGCTTTTGGTCCTGCGGCACCCATGACTGGCCTCAGCGCTCTGGTCGCTGCCATGTTCTTCCTCTAAAGCATTGGGGTTTTCTGGCGTTGCTTTTCCGCTCGACTTAGAATAGCTTAATATCCGACGGGTGATGTCTCGATCCTAGTGCTTGTCAGGCCCTTTTTCGAGCGATCAACTCTCTTTTTAACGAAACAAAACAACAAGATAGGGGGGAAACTTGCGACTCGGTTCCACCAAACCAAAGAATGCGCGTGCGCATCTGGCGTGTGGGGTCCTGGGTTTCTTGTGTTGGGAAAGATCTAGTACTGGCAGATTGTGGTTGAGAGCGAACAGGGCTCATCCGAGCTCGCTTGCGTGTGGATAGGCATACAAATGAAACATGTTTTCTTTGACTATTGAGTTGGTGCGACTCTTCTCTGTCCATTGTTCGCCTGCGCCTTCACCTTTCTCTGGCGCCGCGAGCATTTGTCCTCACCGTCAATGCCACGCTGGGAGGGAGATGGGCTATTCTTGCCGGTAGGCCAGGCGATGTTCTCGTAGTAGTGACATATTTTGTGCCGTTGAGTGCAGTCAGCACCAGCGTGCTCTATTTCTAGTCGTGCAATCTTGACAGCAACTTCGCGGTCTCCACAACGATGATGATGAGCCCCTATCCACCTGGGGCCTTTTTATGATAAGGTGATGACGGGATGCAGGATGCAGAATGCAGATGGCAGGATTCGAGCAGTCACGGCCTCTGGGGTACATAGATGATGAGCAGATGAGGTCTTGGTCAGCAACACTGGACCCCCGTACGGCTCCACATACTTCTGGAGAAGAGAGGTACATGTACGTACGAGGTAAGAAGAGACCAGAATGGCAAAGGGCTTCAGCGCACGAGTTTGAATTCTACTAGCTCTAGCTCTAGCTCTCGATTCTAAACCGTGCTGCGATAATACGGAGGAGCTTGATAGAGAGCGAGACACACACGCAGGGAGAGAGAGGGGGAGAGAACGAGATCGATCCCTCGTCAGCAATTATTGTTGTCTGAAAAAGACACATCGATGTATCGAGAGCATCGCATCACATCATGGCGCCTTGGCGAGGCTGTGATATTATCTGAGTGGCGACAAGGTTGACCGACGGTACAAAGCTTCGACGGCTTACATAGAGGACCGCGGCCGCTATCCCCGTGAAAATGCGGCCGCTGGAGGACATCGCAGCAATGATAGTGGTGAGAAGTGTCCAAAAAGGATAAGGAGGAAAGGGAAAAAAGGTTAGGGCGGCGGCGACGTTTCTCCCAAGACACAAAGATGGTAGAGCAGCGAGGTTATGCACCACCTATGTACATACCTACAGTATGTACCACTCAGGTACACACTCACACTCACGATGATCGGCCTCCACTCTCCTCTCAGCAGCTTTCTTTTGGGTAGTAAGATGGGGTTGGGTTTCGAGGTTACAAATGTTCGTGCTGTATATTATTATTAGAAGAAGAGAGGTTGGAAAAAGTGCTGACGGACGGTCAGTGGCAGGTATTTGTTCCTTGCCTGTGTCGTGAGTACTCTTACCCATCTCCGGGGTAGGTATGTACGTCCTGTACACATTGATCCTTCTCTGTAACCAATTCTTACCATTTCATAACCCCTTCCTGTCGATCTACATACAATGATGAATGTATCTGACCTCTTTGGTGGAGCGGGAAACTGTTCATACCATTCGCCCAGCAGGGTTCATCTCTTCTCGGCCGAATTGGGCGGAAGAAGATCTTGTCAGATTGCCGCCACATTGCCTTAGCTTGGTGGCTTCGGTTGGGTGGCAACCATACATACACATACATAGATATACCAAGGAAGTACTTTAGGTAGCTAGGGAGATGGGGGAGATGGGTAAAACTAATTGACTAGCTCCCGTGGTAGCGACAAAAGCCGCTGCTGACTTTTGGTACTGTACCAATGTAATACTCGTATGCAGTACGGAGAAGTACCTGCCTCTAATGGACGGAGGGAGATTCACGTTGCATTCCGCGTCTCACGAGGATGGCTAGGTGGACAAGGGGCCTGGTGTTCTGGAAGGAAGGGAGGTGAGTGAGTAAGTGGGTTACGATGTCTGATCCCGGAGTCTCAAGTAGTGTGTGTCTGTGTGTGTGTATATATATCTGTTTGTACTCAGCGCTGCAAGAGACATGACTGCTCGTGGCGACTCCCTCTCACTCTTCCGACCAGCAGTCTCGATATAACGACTTGAGCATCGACACAAGGACTCCCTCCTCCTCTTAGTAGCCGCCTTCTAACAGTCTATCACAACCAGCCACACAAGATGCCTCGAACAGACGTCTCTTTCAAAACCTCGGACGGTGTGACCCTCCGCGGCTGGTTCTTCACCCCTTCCCCCTCCGCCACGGGCGCTTCAACACCAGCGAAGCTCCCCTGCCTGATCCTTACCCTCGGCTTGTCATGTGTCAAGGAGATGGGCTTGTCAGAGGTGGCCACAAAGTTCGCCGAGGAACTTCACATCACTTGTCTGGCATACGATCATCGAGGGTTCGGTTCTTCGGATACTGGCTCTGGCCAACCCAGACAGGAGGTCATAACCTGGCTGCAGAGCAACGACATGCGCGACGCCATCACATACGCGCAGACCAGGGAGGAGGTCGACAGGTCCAAGATTGCCCTGTGGGGGTATTCCCTCTCTGCCGCTGAGGCCGTGTATGTGGCGGCCACCGATCGACGGGTCAAGGCTGTGGTCGCACTGGGTCCGGGCATGGACGGCACCCAGGTCGTGAGAAGGCTGGCACCACCTCACGCCATATTGGCCATCCAGGGCTTGTTTGAGATGGATCGGCTTGCGCGGGCTGAGGGGAAGGAGGCGATCAAGGTGCCCGTCGTGAGCATGGAGCCTGGAGCGCAGGCGATGCTGCCGAGTCAGGAGTCGTGGAACTTTTTCTCCAAATGGGAGACGAACGGATCGGGATGGAAGAATGAGGTGACTGTACGAAGGTGAGTTTCTCTTGTCCCTTTTTTTCTGTTCACGGGAGGGTTGTCCGGATAGCTCTCCTCAGAGCTGACAGATGGAATTTCCCGAAAATAGCCTCGAAGACGTCTCGACATTTGCTTTGCCCGTTTCACATCTCGATAACTTGACCCCGACGCCCGTCCTCTTCGAAGTGGCCTCGAGGGATACCAACTGTCCTCCGGATATGTGCATGAGGTGGTACGCGAAGCTCAGTGAGCCAAAGGAAGTGGTTCTGGTGGACGCGGATCATTACGAGTTGATGGGTCCAGCCAGGGATATCTTGCATCCCAAGGAGGTGGCGTTTCTCAAGAGGACGATCTGCTCGTGAGTTGGTGGTGATGAGGAAAACGAGGAAGGGAGGACTATGGCAATAAGAAAGGAAGACCATACAGTACAAGCTGTATGTAGATCGTCAGTCGGTCTCCCGACCTTCTTGGGTGATGCCTTGGCTCACCTGCCTGCGAGGCTGCGATGCTGGGAGACAAAAGCTGCAAGGCATTTTCTCATCCGTTTGATTTTCTTTTCAGTTGTACAACATCTCTTACCTCCATCGATTGTCCTGCGCAAAAACATGCCACTCACTCTCACCACACACCACTGTGTTGCGGATACTGCACCCAAGTCTCCGTGGATAGGTCGTCTCAACGCAGGTCACATTTGACGATTGCCTGTAAGCTCCGCTTCAAAGAATACGCTACCGTCAATGTGAGTGATTCTGAGGTTGCCGTCTCTCGATGCCTCTGATTCAACAACAGAAGACCCAGTCATCGTCGCTCCGACTTCACCCCTGGTCCTCACTCTCCTCGCTACGACTCAGCAGTCTTCGGGTGCGAGTGGCATCGATCATCCCGCATCCACCATTCTTATCGTCCCAGAGGGAGACACCCGAGACCGGCTCTCCAGGTGCTGCATGGGACAACAATGGTCAAACCAGGAGCTATTTGGGGAGAGACATTGAGCTTTTCTTCACCGAGACTTCAATCGCGGGGAAAGCCATCAGAGTCTGCAAAGGGAAATACTTGCGTTGTGCGCAAGGATTATCGATACCCTACCTACCGTCAAAGAGCATCCAGGGCAGTAGGGTAATAGCTCTCTGGACGGCCATCGCCTGTTATAGACTCAGGCGGTCAGGCAAGGCGCAGCAACGTGATTTATTGCTAGCTTGTGCGACACCTGCAATGGCTGTTCCAGAATCTGATTTGGCGCCTCAAGCCACCATTTCGCCCCTATTTCACCGCCCCCACTAGGCCAAACGAACATGCATATTCGGCAAAGGTCGGTCGAGTAGGCATCTTCAGCCTCATCACGATGTCGGTTGTCTTTCTTTCAATTTTTCTCTCTGGAGCGAGGGGGGAATATCATGTCATTCTCCGTGGCGAATACTAGATATCGCGAGTCTAGAGCATGGAATCTTTCATAATCTTCAAACAAGGTGCGTGCCTACACCAGCGTTAACAGGAAGAACCGACGAACTGACCGTGGGACACATGTTCAGTCGACGGCAAATTTAAGAAGGACTCTGTCGATGCAGATGTATTTCTCAAGGTAGGTCATCGATAGGAAAATATGTGCGCATATGGAGGAATCTAACTATTTGGCAGACACGGCCAGAGCCAGGGGTTCAATTTGTGTAGGAGCCCTCGACACACCAGTGTTTACGAGGTCAAGGCATCTGACATATATGTCGCTCAGGTTCGGTAAATGGGATGCATTGAAACAAGACAAACAACTCCGGGATCTTATGTGCGCCGACTGGGCATATCCGCCAATGCTATGGACAAAGACCTGCCACGAAGCCAACGGATATGCAGGAAGTTCACATAGCCTCGACAAAGACCAGACGACGTTGGTGGACAGTAAGTAGCCTTCTCATCCAGTTGAAGGTAGGCTCTGGCTTCACATATCTAATAGATCTGGGTTCCAGCCTCGTGGTTCCAGTTCCTGATCAAGCAGTTGAGAGGCGGCGCAAATGCCTCGCAGCAAGTCTACGCTTACGACTGGTATGAGATGGGATTTTTCACCTACACTCTCTCCACTGGCGGCTCGGTGGCCTTTTGCATCGACACCCCACCAGTATTCCAGGATGGACTCCTCGAGGCACTCAACTCGCAGGAGAGCCATCATCCGCCAAACGAGGGTATGGGATTCCTGCAGAGCGCGATCGTCGCAGAGGTATCAAGGCTGTACGATGTCTCGGTGTGGACACTGAGGGATCAGATCAGGGAGATTGAAAAGGTATTTCGACAGATTGTTCTCGGGGGCAGATCGATGTGCTTACCGCTCTATGAAATCCTCAGACCCGATCCGCCGCTCGCTACGTCGACTCGGTCCTCGATTTTGCCCAATTGCATGACCTCGCTCGACACACCATTCACACCTGCGAAGTACTGGCCGTGGCCGTCGACACGCTCAACACGCTGTTGGGTGACTACCGTTCTGGTTCCGGGAACGTCTGTGACTGTCGACGTACGACCACCGGCCGTTTGGCAAAGCCAGATTGCCCCCACAATGAGATGCGGTTCTGGCTGGGACTGCTCCAGAACTTTGGGCGACGAGCCACGTCTCTGAACGAGAGGCTGTCCAATGAGATCAACCTGGTACGAGTGGCCGGATTCGATTCTTCACCGAGAACTCCTTAGCTAACTCCTTATGACCGACTAGGGCTTCAACCTCGTCGTCCAACGGGATACACGGGAGACGGTCATGATTAGCAGGATGACAGTCGATATCAGCAGTGCGGCAAGGAAGGACAGTGCATCGATGAAGACGATTGCAGTGGTTACGCTTGCATTCCTGCCAGCCACATTTGTCTGCGTAAGTATTTCCTCCTCCCGTCCTTCAAGGGTCTCGACAGATTCGAACAATTTGTTATGCCCGGCACAGCTGACAGCCCAACCGACCGTGCAGACCATCTTCAGCATGAGCTTCTTCACCCTCAACGTCAACGACACCACGGGCGAGAAACACTGGCTGATTTCGGACCGATTCTGGATCTACTGGGTCATCACCATGCCGCTGACGGTTCTGACCTTGATCTGTTGGTGGTATGGACAACGCAAGGAGGACCGACGCGAAAAGGCGAGGCAGCCGAGTTGGAAACTTGGTGCCGAGTCGTAGTTATTTTTTTTTTTTTTGGTAGAGTTTTTACCCGTCGCAGCTATATCTATATCTAGGGAGGTAGGTATCTATATCGTTTTGGGCAAAGAGCTGTGTGTACGTGCTTGGGTGTTTTGTGAGTGTGAGTGTGCATGTAACCATCTATACCTCTGACGGCACGAGCCCCCCAAGTCATGGGAACGATGTCGCCACTTACCCTCTTCTACTCGAGCCTACTCTACTCTACTCTGTCCACTATTACGAGGTACTCTGGCGTGTCTGGTATCTATGAGTAATCGGCCCTGGAACACCCCCAAAGTCTACGAGTACCCACCACCTCCGTCGCCCCCCCCTCTCCGGCCGGACCGTATCCGCCGGATATGACACGTCTCACCCGAGTCCCTCTTACGTACTCGTGTCCGTTTAACTTGGTCTGGGTGGGTTGACCAAGGCTTGTACAAGGATGGGGAATGGAGACCCCCGTCCGGTTAGGTTATGAACAAGAGCCTGGAGGGCGGTGAGTGAATGAGTGAGTGAGTGAGTTTGTGTGTGTGTGTGTGTGTGTGTGTGTGTGTCTGCTGACCCTGTGCCGCTGCCGGTGCTGGTCTACTGTAGCTGCAGATATGAACCATCCATCCCGTTTGCATTAGTGGCGTCTTCGTCTTCGTCTTCGTATTTGGCATCGTCATGGTCGTCGTCATTGAGAATATCCAATGTCTCATACCTAATGCGCTAGCACCTAATACATATGTAGGTATCACATTCATGAGACATGGAAATGGATATGGACGTGGATGGACATATACTACAGCACAGCCTCGCGGGTCTCGTCGCGGGTCCTCTTCAAAAACGGCATGACGCTTGTTCCCCCCGTGCCGTGTAACTGTCTCGTCGCTGATGCGTCGTCGGACCAAGTCCCAGCTCCTGCTCCCGCTTTTCGCGGCGCCGAGCACGCCGTGGCCAGGTTCGCACCCTTGCGCTGCACGATGTATGCCGCTGGCGGGCTCCGCGAGGGCATGACAATGTACCTGGCGACGAGCTGGATGTGGCTGTTGCGCAGGTGACTCAACGCCGCGACGGCGTCGTTGTATGCGGTCCTGAGCGCCGTCGGGGTACCCTCCCGTGAGATGTATCCCCGCAAATTGCTCATTCGTTCAACTTGTCCGAGAAACTCGCGGTGGCGTGGTTGCATGTAGTTCCTCATCTCCTGTTGTCCCGGAGTCAGTTCACCCGTATGTATACCACCAGAACGGAACACAACAACGGACCTGTAAGTATCCATTCGGGCCGGTTCCTTCATCCTGTGACTTGTGCCGGAGAGTATTGTTATCTCCCGTTTCGTGATGCTCAACGGCCAGGAAGATGTCGAAGAGCTGGATCAAGGAGCTTTGGGCATTGCTCCCGCCACTATACTGCCTCCACTGGCCGCGGCCGTCGCCCTCGTCGTAAAAGACACCATTTGGCAGTCCAGCCGCTGCCATTCCCTTGGAGCCCGCACAGAACGGTCGAATGTTGTGGTAGAATACCTGTGGATCGCAATGTTCATACATGCGTTTGAGAGTATTTTCAATTTCTCCAATCCCATTCGCAAAGGCTCGAAGACAAGTTAAAATCGTGTTGTCATCGCAGTCATTCACAGCCTGGATGCATTGAAGCATCGTCAGGACAAGTGGCCCGCCCTTTGCTTCGATGGCCGTGGATACCATGTAGAACCACTCTTCGTCTTTTGTGTTGGTGAAAGAGAGCAACGACTTGAGATTGTCAGGGTTGGCCCAATCACTGTCGGGTGTTTTCAAGCCAAAGTTCAAAAGACTAAGCGTCGAGAACATTGCGGTTGGCGGCAGTCCTAAGCGCTGAGATACGGTCAGAAAAGGGCAGCTGAGTTGAGGTGGGAGGCGCTGTAAAAAACGTCAGCTGAGTATCATGCAATACCCATAATCTCAGGATGAACCTCTGCAGGTCGTTCTCCGCCCCAGATATATGCGTGAGTCAAAAACCCCAGGACCGCATATGCTCGCTGCCATTCTGGGTCGCTGTGCAGTCGGCCTGTATCAAGAATGGGCAGGTTGTCGATCTTCGCCCTGATGATATCGTTCGTTATGAGTTCAGGCAGGCTCTCTGCTAAAGTCTCCCAAGGCTGGTAGTAGAGGTCCGGTAGCCGTTCCAAAGGCGCGGTATCAAGAAGAAAGCCGGATCTGGCCGAGATGCCGTATCTTCGGGCAAACTCAGTGGGTGATTCTCGCATCTCGAAAGCGCAATATCGAATCAAACAGAGTTAATCCGCAGATGAGATGGTGTGTGTTGATCGAGAGAAGGTTGACGGCTCCGTTGAGGATGAAAACGTGGTTCTGGCCGATGAAGCTCCCATCTTCAGTCTGCTATAAGCAGTAGCGGCTCTCGGAGGCGGAGACGGAAGCGGTGATAAGGATTCCTGTCGTCCAGCAACGATCCTGGCCAGATACATCTTGATTGGTGGAGGGCTTCTCCACAAGCCCCGGATGTTACAGCCATACTCTGGGCAGTTTCCGTCAGTGAAGGGGCAGGTTATGGACGGTGGATTGTTAGATGCTGGGGCGAATAGGTTTCCTGATGGTTGACCTTCCTCTAATTGCAGAGTGTCCGATAGGCAGCCAATAATAAAATGCAATTACAGGCATGCGGTTGGCTGTTTAGCTCTGGTGCCCTGAAAGCCACCAGTCGTCCAGACTTCCAGCCAAATCTTGTCCTTGTGCAAAATAGCTTTGCGCCAAAATCGACACTCCCTCACTCATAAAGTCCACGTTACGACCCTCCGAGTCTCGAACGGTGTCGCGAGGAGGCAGAGCAGTTGCCAACCCGGCTGATGTCGTACTGTGGTGATTGAGGCGAGTAGGTTTAGGTAGAAGATGACTGCGAAGCACTTCTCCAGAGGAAGACGATTGACGATGGGATGTGAGAGAGGCACCAAAGTAGACATCTGCGTCTTTGGGCAGTTCTCCCACAAATGACGACTCGATAATCTCCCAGAACAAGCTGAGGTCGATGAAGATGCGAGTATCTGGTGACCTCTGAGACGCAGAATCATGGAAAGAGTCCGACACCACCTTTTCAAACGCTTCTATCTTACCGACCTGTTCGAGTCAGAGAGTTGGGGAGAGAACGGAAGGCTGGTCAATACTCACAAGCTGGCCAATATAAGGCCAACATGTGCCCAAACCTCGAATGAATGACACACATTTCCTGAAGCCACGTTCCTTCGCTGCCTTGACCTCAGTGTCATCGGAGAAACTCTGCTGTAGGTATATTGTGGCAGCAATAGCTACGCAGTGGGCCAAGAACGGGTCATGCAGATGGAAGCTATGATTCATACACAAGTCCAATAGGTGCAAGATCCATTCTGTGTGAGTCTCATTGAGGTCGGCCGTGTGTTGAAGGAAGACCTCCGGAACCATGGTGAGCCTGAAGTTTCGCAGGCGGAGAAACAACAGTAGCGGATGGTTGAGTAGGCAGAGGATGGTGTGGTAAAGTAACTGTAGCATGATCCAGGGGGCCCAAAAATCACGATGCTTCTCCAGTTGATCCCAATTTTGATTTTGAAATCGTGATGGCCGAAAGCGATACTTGTATGGCAACCGCGTCTCGAGCTCCATAAGGTCCGCAGTAATCTGTGAATACTCGGACTGCGGTGACCAGGCAGGGAGGGTACTCGTGGATCCACGCCTATTTGCAAACCTGGCAGCTCTCTGCCAGATTTGACTTATTTGCACAACATACGCGAAGATGCCAAGGTCCGAGGGTTCATTAGATGAACTCCGCTGCTCCAGGGCCGCATCGGTCATCTGAGAGCTGGTACCTGCTGGAGGATCGGGTCTTTGGGGAAACCTCGGGGTCCTTTCATCCCGCACAGCTGAGAAAGTGCCAGTGGAAACTCCATAGAGATTTCTTAAGAGCACCACGCTCCAGAAGCATCGGCGTCGCTCGTCGTCAACACGGTCATAGTCGGGTCTCCCGTGATCTGAAGACAGTCCTGAGGATGAAACAAGGTCCGTGGCCAGTGCAATGTAAGTGCTTGCCCGGGGAGTATTTCCGTCTGTGGCGATCAGCAATTGCTGGGAGAGTCAAGTCTGAGCTGACTTACGATTGAATTCTCCAAGGCTCAGAAGGCACAATGCTTGGATCGTGGACAGTTCAACGGGCCCATAAGTGACCCGGCGCATTATTAGCTCTCTTGCCTGACTTGCCCAACGTTCGAACATGCGTACTAGATCCGCATCGCTGACAACGGGGTTTCCCATCTCAAAGCGCGACACGAGGGCTAGGATAGACAGCAATAGCTCCGGATCTCGCGAGCTGAAAGTCGCCGTCAGGACCTCAGGGGAGAACAGCGGGAGTGGCTGGCAGTTGCAATGTTGGAGGTATAGCTGGACGAAATCACCCACAACACTCCAGGGTGGAAGTCTAGTTGTGTTGTAGGCTGAGCATAAGCCAAAGCAGAGCGCGATTGGGTCAAAATGTCATACCTGTCGCTTGGGGGCAACTCCGAGACCCGGGTGGCGGGATCAGCATGCGGTGAAGCAGTCTGAAGCATTGTCGACGGAACAGGCTGTATTACCGCACTGGGCTGGTGCCTCCTCATCACAGTCAGTGCCACATGCATCGTCTTATCCTCGAATTTCGCAACGTACGGTAAGAGCTTCCACATTTCAGCGATTCGTGCTTCGAGGACCCCAAACCTCTCAGCCTATAGCCCACAGGTCAGCCCATCAACCTCAATGGACGCCGGAGCACCGGTTCACCATGTCCTGGCCACCTTGAGGCGGAAGAGGATTAGCATGTCGTGCAGATGGGGTATTGCTCAGGTCTAGGCTTTGTTGGGTAGACGTGCGTCGATCAGGCGGCGCAACATAGGTACAATGCTGCCCCAGTCGCGAGCAATGAGCGCAGACCGGCCTCTCGCCTGTACATCGCGACTTCTTGCGGCTTTGAATATGGGTGAGCGAAATGACCTCGGTATCCAGTGACCAGGTCCAATGAGCTTACCGGCATGGTTCACAAGCCTGACGCGTGCGTTTAAGAGGTGTCTTTGTCTGGGCCCCGTCCATCACCAGGGGAGGGTCAAGGTTTCGATCACTTGGTGAGTAGTGACAGCAGTTCCCGTGTCGATGTTAGCGGCCATGATGCTCAGTGTCATTGGGTTGTATGAGTGTTGTGGTGTCTGTCTGCGCACTGTGATGCGGGCTGCATTATTGATGATATGCGCTACCGTAGCGGCGGAGCAAATGAGCCACAGTAGAACCTTCGTTCTGATTGGCTGCCAACCCACCACCTCCCTTTCTCTCATCCGGATCTTCGCTTCACGATTCTCTTCATTCATGGCCTCGTGGTCATTGTCCGCAGCTTGCCACGCACGCACGCACTCCAAAGAAGGTTCTCATTCTTCTCTCCCCGCCTCAACCAAGACCAAAAACGCGTCAAGGGCTCGGCTGTTTCCCTGATTCTTTCGCTTGGCCATGCCTGTTACGTGGCAAGATCAGCATCTCCGCATTCTGCCTCTGGCAAGCTTTCCCCATTGATGTCATTGTCGATCGTTCGCCGGTAGCCTTCGGCAGCTCTGCTTTGCGGTCTTCGAGCGCATGGCTGATGAATGGGTCTCTATAAAAGCCTGTCGTGCATTTCTTTTTACTAGGTTTCAGTCTTTTCCTGTAGATGAGCAGTATCCGCTTCTTGTGGGCCAAGGTAAATACACCGCAGACACTACTCACCATGCTCGCATTTTCTATTCTTGTTCTTGCATTCTGGCTACAGTCTTGCTGGGCTCAAAATTCATGTCCAGCTGTGACGCAGCACTTGACTGACCCCCCTTATGACAACTATTTCTACTCGGACTGCAACAGTGATTCGCAAGCCGTCGTCACCAGCCCACTTCCCGACTCAAATCTGAGTATCATCGGTCCTCGACTGATCATTGCCTGGCCCGCTGGCAACAGTGGTATTTGCACCTTTTTCCAACCCCAGAATGGCCCAAATGGATCGCTGGCCATAGAACTTGTCAATTCCACTGTAGGATCTCCGTTGGGTCCGGTCTACAGAACGGCTCAAGGCTCGGCAAACCCATTTGTTGGTGTACAGGGAATCATCTCGTTCAACACCTCGGCCACATTGACCATCCCAATATTGGGCAGTATTAGAACCATCCGAGACTTCACAGAAGGCCCGAGTCTGCTCCGTCCAATCATTCAGGATGCGATCAACATCACTAGATCGAATGGCACCGGAGCTACCCTCTCGCGACTGTGGCTAGACAATGTTACCACTACTACCTTCACCATGGTCCCGTACGAAAACCCGAGTTCCAACATCACAATTAACCAGCGGAATAAGACCATCAGCTTCGGCGCAGGGTTTTATTGGTTCTCTGCGAGCTTCAACTACCCGCAACTGACGCAGCTCCCTCCGAGCCGAGTCCTGAATACCGCCTCGCAGAACCTGATCACCGAACAGCCAGATCAGACCACTTCGCTTTCATTTCTCTCGTACACGGAAAAATTGCTTGCGGGAGCATGGAGATTCCTCACCTACTTTGGTCGCGACAGCATGATCTCCACGTTGCTTCTGGAGCCGGTGTTGAGTCAAGGCAACGGTTCCGCGACAGAAGCCGTAATTGGGGCAGTCCTCGAGCGACTCAACCGGACTGACGGATCCGTCTGTCACGAGGAGACCATTGGTGACTATGCAACCTATCTAAACTTGCAGGACAACATCACCAGCACTGCACCCGGTTTCACATATCCGATGATCGACACAGACTATTATCTCCCGGTTCTCATGGCACAATACTTCAACAGCAGCCCCTCCCGCATCGGTCCTTTTCTGAGCCGCAGGGCCGGCACGGTCGATATACAAAATCGCAACCTGACCTACCAGGATTTGGTGCTCATCAATGCGCAGAAGATCATAAACATCACTGCTGCATTCGCGCAGAACCAGACGTCAGCCAATCTTATCCACCTGAAGTCGGATCAGATCGTGGGACAATGGCGGGATTCTACCTATGGACTCGGAGGGGGTCGGATTCCCTTCGATGTCAATACCGCTCTGGTCCCTGCCGCGTTACGAGCCATTGGTCAACTAGCACGTACGCCAGGCGTCTTTCCGAACAACTCGAACGTCAATACTACTTCCTGGCGCACGCTTGCCGACTCCCGAGCTCAGATTTGGGAAGAGAATACGCTACAGTTCTTTGAAACAAACATCACAGCCTCGACTGCGCGGTCCCGCCTTGAAGATTTCGTGGACACGGCCACATTCTACAACGGACCGACCAACGCTTCGTCGCTACCTTCATCAGGCAACGTGACGACCTATTCGATTGCCCTGGACGGCTACAACAATCTGTCGTCGGTCAACGTCCAGCACAGCGACAGCAGCTTCCGCGTATTCTTCGTCAACGCCTCGTCTTCCACGCCAGAAGCTGAAGCACAGGAGACGCGGTTCATCAACGCCACGGCCAACAGCTTGCTGCGACCCTTCCCGGCAGGCCTGATGACACCCCAAAGCATGATTGTGGCGAACCCGGCGCTGTCGGGGTCGGACGTGTTGATCGCCAACTTCACCAACGCGGCATACCACGGCTGCGTGGTCTGGTCTTTCCAGCTGTCCATGATGGCCAAGGGTCTGGAGAGACAGCTTGCGCGGTGCAACGCCACTAACTCGACGGCCTCTTCCTCTGCCGCCACCCGCCCAGCCTGGTGCGGGATATCCTCGGTGTACAACAACGTCGTGCGCGCGTACAACGCTCTGTGGGATAGCATCGGCGCCAACGCCGCGCAGCTGCAGGGCGAGGTGTGGAGCTGGACCTTCAACAACCGCACGGGCGACTTTGTTACCACGCCGTTGGGCGTCCTGCCGCCGCCACCCGGGGTTGGGGCCGGCACCGAGAGCGATATCCGCCAACTCTGGAGCTTGACGTTCTTGGCCGTCAGGAGGAATGAAGATCTGCAATGAGATTTCTGGCAGCGGATTGTCAGTCAACTTATTAGTCACACGCGGGAAACGATGTGAGGATTTATCACGTCCTGTCCTGCGCTCTCGAAGTGTGTGAGAGAATGACAGAGAGGAATGTCCACAATCAGCCATCCCAGAAAAGACAAAGTCATGTATTACAGCACCAAAAGCTATACGGTAACCCATGCGATTGCTAGTGTTAATATCAATCTACAAAATTTAACAAAATTAATCAAGTTGAATCTCGCACACATCCACACATCCATACGTACATGCCTGTTAACTAAGTCAGTGACGGGACTGTAAATCATCACGGCTATTGAATATAGCACGGCCTCGACTGCGTTTTAATGGTGATCAAGACCAACAAAAAAAAAAAAAAAAGAAGCGATGCATTCTATTTCCACGTGTCTATAATTTTTTGTTGCGAACCAGAGCAGAGCTGCCAGGTCACCAGGGTCTGCCGGGACAATCCTAGATAGAGTAGAAAATGTTTTACCAGATGGAAAGAGAAGTCGCACAATTCATTCATCACAAGCCTCACCTTACCTGACCTCACCTCTCACACCTTGTCACCATCACAGAGACCGCAAAGGATAGATCACAGCCTGGCCTGCAACTTCTCGGCCGTCTCGCCGAGGGCATACGCGGAGGGGGCCTTTTTGCTCTTGATCTTTTCAAAATCGGCGAGGGTGATGCCCCGGGCCTCGACGGCGGGGTTATACCCGACACCGCTCTCCTGGGCGATCTGGGCGTCGGTCTCCGTAACGTCGGTGTTCTTGCGCCCGTCGGCGCGTTTGTAGATGGTGACGACGACGGCGCCGCCGAGGCCGAGGTTGTGCTGCAGCGCGACGTCGATGTCCTTGACCAGACGGCCGTTGTTGGCCCATCCGCGCAGTTGCCACGCGAGCTCGGCGCATTGGGCGAGGCCAGTGGCTCCTATTTGGTCCCCGGCTGGGTTAGCATGCATCCACATTGTCTGACTGTTGTTGGGAGGATTTGTTCATGGATGAGGGCACATAAGGTGGTGCGGAACTCTGACATACCTAGAGGATGGCCCTTGGAGATCAACCCTCCAGAGGGATTCACAACGGGTCCCTTGCCACCGTACGTGATATCCCCGTTCCTCACCATGAGGTGGGCCTTGCCTTGGTCGCAGAACCCAAGACCCTCGAGCAGAATGAGTTCGTTGGTGGAGAAGCAGTCGTGCACTTCGCACACCTTGACGTCTCGGGCGGACACACCTGCCTCGGCGAGGGCAGCCTTGGCCGCACGTCGAGTCATGTCGAAGCCCACGAGGTCCATCGGGGAGCGCGAGAACAGACTAGGAGAATCCGTCATCAGAGATTGTCCGGCCATCAGGATAGCGCGGGACTTGAGTTCAGGTCGAGACTCGAGGAAGCGCTGAGACACGATGACCGCCGCCCCCGCGCCGTCAGAGGTGGGCGAGCATTGGAGTTTGGTCAGTGGGTAGTGGATCATGGGCGACTTCTCGATCTCCTCGAGGGTGTAGACGTTGTTGAACTGGGCGTAAGGGTTGCGCGAAGAGTGCTCGTGAGAGATGCGGCCGATTTCGGCGAAGTCGCGGGCTGAGGCGCCATATCTGTGATGCAGTAGCTGGTCAGTGAACCCGTCCATCGAGAACAAGGGGGGAACAGCCCTCGCGTGAGGCACAGATGATCTCGCTGAGGTGGACGCCGTGCCGAACAGCGAAAGACGCCCATACACAGGCGATTAGTCCATGGGACTTTGTGGCTTACTTCTCCATGTATTCCAATCCAGCATTGGCAAAGTATTGCGCATTTGTCGGCGTGTCATGCTTTCCCCTTGTCTCCTCCATCAACTTCGTGCTTAAGCCCATGGGGCTCGGTCTATCATCCCACACACTCTTGATGGCGCCAGGCTTCATGGTCTCAAACCCAATCACCAAGACGACGTCGACAATGCCTCCCCGGACCAGCGTCCGTGCCAGCTGCAGGCCCGTGGATCCAGTAGCGCAGGCATTATTGGTGTTGTATACGGGGATGTTGGTCATGCCAAACTGGTAGAAGATGCGCTGGCCAGACGTGGTTTCGCCATAGCAATAACATGCCACGCCAGTCTGAACATCGTCGTATGTGATGTGGGCGTCCAAGAGAGCTTTGGTACCGGCTTCTAGGCCCAGCCTACAGCAGCCTTTGGTCAGTACTCGGTATGGCACCTCCAGTGGGGTGAGAGACTAGAGATGATGTTGTCTCCTGTAAGACTTACTCAGGATAGGTGCGCAATTGGCGAGGCTTGATGAACTTGGTGAGACCCACCCCAAGCACGTAGGCGTTTTGCTGGAAGGACATGGTGGTGTTGTGCTGTACGAGGTAGTCTGGATGTTTGGAAAGATGAGGAATAGTGAACGAGCTCGGATGTGCAGATAATAATAATAGCAGGAGAGTTTGATATTTGTTCCAGCGCCACCAGTGCTGTTGATTACTATCTCCGGCTTCCTCCACCTCGTCCTTCCCCCGCGGCCGGGAAAACCGTGAAACTCCAACTAGCCGAGGCTCAGACAAGACTCCACAAACGAATTATCATTATCCACAGGTGCCACAATGCTTTGTACTTGCAAACTTGTTAGCGAGTCGCCGTGTGCTGCGGACCATCTGCCGATCGACGCCCATATGGGTCTCGTCGTGGCTCGTCCCGAGTACATGGCCCTATATCAACTCCAGTTGTAATTGTACATGGATATCTCCCAACCAAGTAAAACAAATCACTATCAAACAAATGTTTGGGCTGCCTTTGTCAAAAGTAGAGAGGTCAGCCCAGACTTGGCCCAAAGGATATCAGAACAACCCCTAGCCCTGGTAATGTTTGACGAATAGATCCGCTTGCTGCGTTCATGGTCGCGACTCTGCACACAGACCATCGTCGTTAAGCCCCCAAACACCGTTGAGGTCGAAAACATGTTTCCAATAAGGACCTATCTCCTCTGGCACCCAAGTCATCAAATCATAAATCGTTGTCAAATGTCCTCTTGACATTGACTGGAGGCATGAAGAAAATAATAAAACTGTCTTTCCCGTGCTGGTACCGGGATTGGTATCTCTGGGTGCTGGTATGTATCCGCCATGAAGAAGTCCACATTGATGTCAATCGGCATCCTGCGTGGGATGCCGTAACCCTGACATGGTGTTTTAGAAGAGGAGAGTCGTGTCTCGGCACTTTCAAACGACACCGAGGTGAAACTCCATTGCAAGTGGAACAAGTATGTAAAACTTGGGCCTCTCAACGGAGTGATTATTCAGGGGTTAACTTCCCAGATGAGAATCCGTGGAAAAGAAGGATTGATTGGAATTGGAGTTTGGTTGCCTGGGTGGTGTCACCAATAACTGTTGCTCGCTGACAAAGGGATTGAAGTCCCAGTTATTATGAAAATGACGTGGAAGGCCAGGCGATAACATTTCCGTGTCTCGGGGCCGTTTCTGTGGAAGGCTGATCTGTGGGCTGGTACCGGACAGAAGCGTAAACGACGCGACAGAATAAGGGCTGGGAGGAGACGGAATGGATGAGGGCGGCATCGATGTAGCTAAGACTGGCTGTGAAACTGTTGGCGCGGTTGTACCTCTTGCCGTTCTTGCTCGACCCTGCTCATTCATGTCGTCTGCACTTGGCTGTCCTGTGCTGTATACAATGCGGAGGGAATCGGCAGGGTTGTGGGGACCGATTTCGGCGTGACACCTTTCCAGATGGTTTTCGTAGTGTCCCTGGCGGGCGTAGTTTTTCTTGCAATTCTTTGACGGACAGAAGAAGCGCTGTCCGGGCGGGGCAGTTCGACCAAGGTTCGCCGTCGTCGAATGGTCCTCAGTAGAGCTAGGGCTCCCTGCAGTGCGAGATGGACCACCTGCGACCCGTCCCGGATGTTGTGTTACAAACCCGGGTTGAGTCTGTTGTGGGCCCAAAGGAGGATGGAATGGATCCCCTCGAGATCTCGTGTAAGTGGGTATGGAAGCAGGGCCCGTGCAGGCATGACTCGATCTCGGAAGATTCGTGATAGGAGATTCTGAATGAGGTCGAGCATTGTTGACCTGCATCAGCACCTCCTGCTTCATAGTGTCCCAGCTCTTGTCCGCTCTGATTTGCAGGATCAAGCAGAAGATCTCCTGAGGAGGAGTGTAGTAAACATTTCCGAAGAATTGTCGGAAGAGCGGGGACCGCGCTCTCTGACGGATGCTCTTCAGCATGGACAACTCGCACTCGTCGGCTAGGAGTAAGGCATGGATAATGTGCGAATAGAGGAGGAAGTGTTGGTGACGAGTCAGTGCGTTAGTTTTGGACGAGATGGCATGGAATTGTGAGGTATCAGCACAGCTCTGGGAGTGAGCTGATATACCTGGCTGCAGGTGCAGGGGCGGATTGCCTTGAGGATTGGCTACGTGATTGCTGAACATGGTGTGCTGTACTTAGTCCGCGGCCTGGATACGGTACAGGGGTTTTCAGTAAATTCAATGCGGAGGACGGAGGACGGAGGACGGATAGGGTACAACGTAATCGTCTGGGTTGGTCAATCGTAGGTCAACCTGGTTGTGGTGCGAAGCAAAGGAAGACTGGGCGGCGCGGATAAACGGTGAGTGCACGAGGCGTCACTTTTGGGCGGCAATTGTAGCCAGGTATTGTGGCAGTCAACAGTAATCGAAGAAATGTTTGCCGACAAAGGTTAGGAAAAGGATGGAGGACAAAGTGTGAGAAACAAGATGGTAGTAAATAGGCTGGGTGCATTCATTATATGAACGCTGTAGGTGCAAATGAGTTGAGCAGAGCGCAGACGGAGGGGTATGGGCCAGAACGGGGTGATGTAGGATGTAAGCGTGAAGCGTGGACGCGGGCGTATGAGAGGGCGCATGATAGCCAAAGGCGAGGTACACCGTTGTGATGGGACATAGAGAGCAAACATAGTTAGGCAAGGCAGATACGGCTATCATTCATGAGTGAGTTGTTGGACTACAACAGGTGAGAGTCGCAAGAGTAGCGGAAGGACGAAAAAAAAACATGAAAACAAAGAAGTTTGTCACGTTCTGGCTCAGTTGGGTTAGGCTTATAATAGAGGCTGGTTATGCCCAGCCCAAGCCTAACTAGAGCCAGGGAGGTACCCACGACGAGGACAAGCGAGGCAGGCTTCCAAGCCCTGGGGGATGCCCACGCCGGACTGCTTGACCCAGAGCTTTGATCCCAAGTCCTGAAAAGTGATCCACTGGGGCAGTGATGGCGTTGTCTTTGCTCGTCATTTGGAGCTAAAAGGATGCAAAATGCGCCAATCCCCCATTTCGACAGCCCACTAGCCTTCATCCTCCCCTCAAAACGTGGTTTTTTTTTTCATCTCGTCCCACGACCTGGACCAAGTAGGTACTTGTACGCAATGGATCAATCACCTTAAACGTACGGCACGGGCACTGAACGGGTTTCAGCAGGGATGGGCCTCTATTGCTCCACGCCGCCAGTCATCTCTCTCACTGGCTTCGATTGATCCCATCCACATCCCATCCCATCCCATCGCTCCCATCGCCCACCACCGCGCCACCCGCTCTCTCTCCCTTGCGTAACGAAAGCCGCGCCCCCAAGGGCCACCCCTGAAACCCGAGGAACATCATATCCGATACCTAAAGGAGCGCGGTCATCCCCGTACGAGGTTCACCTGAAAACGCGGGACTGGTGCCTGGCCGCTGCACCGTGACCTCCCGCCCGCCTCTGTGCGACTATTTGTAGGTATCTACCTACACAGAAAGCAATGCAGCACTGGGAATGGAGTCATCCATCCCGTTAATAACTGGTTGTTGTGGCGAAATTGGCACCCTTCGTCTCATGGCGCTCCGGTTTCCTTCCTCCACACAGCGTCTAGCCCTTCGAAGGCTCCAACGAAAGATGCGCTCTCCAGCAATCAGCAATCAGTCCACCTGCAAGCTGTCGCTCTGCGCGACACAGCAATACCTCACCGCCTAGAGTTGCTGATCGGGCAATTAATCTGTTGAAGCTTTGTGATTCCTGCTGGTCGAGGCCAATTTCATCTCATCGTCATCGTGCTTGGGCCATTGAGGCGTAACCCAAAAATAATATTCCGACACTGCACTTCGCACTGTGTTCTGGGGGCACTTTTGACGGCCAGGGTCAGAATATGTGCAGATCTGTCCATGATCCTATCGAAAGAGCCTTCGACATCAGCAACACCAGGACTCGAAAGTCCGTGGGGACCTGCATTCGAGGATCAGGAACCGACGAACCGCACCGTTCACCAGCTGGCCCGCTACGGTTCAACTGCTACCAGCAGCTCCATCATGCAGGCAAGCAGGTGTACCACCCGCTTTGGAACAGCTCGACCGTTGTCCCTGCCGCCAAATGCTAGAATCTCCCGCTACCTATTTAGCATGGTGCGCAACCTTGCATCCCGCCCACATCCGTAATCCCAATCACTTGCTGCCACGCTTCCTCGATTTGACATGATTTCGGTTGTGGCGGAGATAGGAATCAGGAATGCACCCTACCCAGCTGACTCGCACTGTTTGTCGACATACATACATCAATACTCCCGTCCCTGCGTCCCTGGACATATTCTTGGACCTCCTCGCGCAGTCAGAAGGCCAACCCACTTAAAGATTAGCTCTAACAGGTGTGTTTCAGATTCCAACTTATCTCTATATCATCGAATGGAAGACGACGAAATTTTGATGGATATCATCTGTTCGCCTTTTCATTTAATGGCTCCCCACCATCAGTTCGGCCAACGCGGGCAAACTCTGGACAAAGTTCCTTCCATCTGGCAATCACCCACTGCGGCCGTCGAGTTGATCGCAACCAGGAAATGCGTTTTGCAAACACGGGTCGCCTCATCAGACGAACAACGCACCCCTGCCGACGTTCTTGCCGACTCAAATTTTTCAACCACATCATGCAGTCCTAGCGGCGGACCCGTGTTTGGCTCTTTGGGCGGCTTTGGTAGTGCTCATGTCAATGCTGATTCTGGTAGGTTTACTGCGGCGCCGGCTGCGGGGATCAGATACAGGAAATCGCCTCCCAAAGGGGACCCAAGGGCCTGGACCCTGCCAGAGGTACTAGAGCCTTCGCATTTATCGGCTCGTGGCTGTCAATCCAAGCTGGAGCAGGGAAAGGAATTTCAGCGAACAGAAGCCTATACCCCAACCCGAGCTTCCAGGTTCTGCATAGACAACTCAACTGACATCCAAAACCTCACAGCAAAACTCCCTTTTGTGACAATGAGCTACTGACGACCCGAGCTAGCCTCTTGGCCTCGTCTTCCATCTTTGGTCTTCCATCATTTGAAATTGACCATATTCGGCTTCGTCTTTCAGAGGATAGCAAGACTCGTGATTACGTTCATGTTGCGATGTGACGAGGCGTGACCCAGGATTACTAGGGTCAAAGCTGAAGGCCTCCAGAAGTGAAGTGGTAGATAGCCCACTGGATCCAGATGGTCCTGGAGAGCTTTCATCGAACACGCCCTGGCTCATGCTGATCTGGAAGCCATTGTGGTCGGTGGTGAAAGTGAAGTCTCCCGCATATCTGACACCATCTTGGCCAGCGTTCGAAATCTCATTTTCACCACCGTAGGACTCCTGGGACAATCGTCGTTGAGTCAGGGGCGAGTCGCTCGCGCTTGTGACGACCGAAGATGTGGTGTCGCCCTGATTACTCGGCTGAGGCGATGAGTCTGGCACCAGGAACTCTGCAGGATTCCGGTTGCGATACTCCGACTCTGCGTGGCAGTTGCGCATGTGGTTGCTGAAGTTTCCAGCATTCCTGAAAGCATCATGCCTGCAGTTCATGTAAGGGCATTTGTATCTCTCTCCTTTTGGTGCCCTTCCTTTTGCCCTCTGATAGGTAGGACTCTGGAATTTTTTCCTCCCGCCCACCATCGAAACAGGCGTCGTGGATCTTGTTTGACTCCCTGGACCAGGACCTGGACTGGAAACGTGAGATGCGAGAGAACTGTTCCCCTCAGATGCACGAGGGACCGGGCGATTGCAGGAGTCACCAAAGTCTCGCACTCCATGCCCAGCAGCCTCTAAGCCGCCGGAAATCAGATCTGGTGGTGTTGGGATTGAGGAGATGATGTCGATACACTCAAAACGCGAATGCTCAAAACCATACTGCTCTCTGAGTTCATTGACCAAGCGCCACAAGTCAGGAGGGAGTCTGCCGTACTCCTGGCAGAGATAGCGAGTTAGGAGGTGGTGAGCGGTGGAGTATTCTCGAGGATTGTACAACTCAGTCCACAAAGCGGACGTCAGACGAAGGTAGCTGCATACCGTGTCTCGAAAGATTGCAATGTCCCGTCGACCGATGATTGTGGCCAAGATGGCATGCGAGTTTGACGTTTGACGATGTGAAAGGGATGTTTGCGAATTGTCACTGGCGAAACCGATCCGGCCCTGGTCGAAGAGCGGTGACCAGGTCGCTTGTTGGAATGCGTATGCTGGACCCATTGGGGTGGTAACTGGCCTATGTGTTTGGTTCCCCATCTGGACAGGATATCGGATTTCCAGCTCCGAAGATGGACTGTCGATCATTCTCCCAGTCAGCATGGCCAGCGGCTGAAGGGCATCATTGGGAGTCGAGAAAGAAATCCTGAATTGCTCCATGACGGCGGGTGGCAAAGTGAACACGACCAATCAATTTACGCGCCAAGGATAAATGGCACTCGTAGGAAGGACGAAAGGAAACCGGCCAGCGGTCTGGGACTGAAAGAAACAACGAGGACAAGGAAATGTCAAGGCCGCCGAAGGAGAGCGGAGGGAGAGAAGAATCTGAACGGGAGCATATTTTCGTAGACTGAATCAAACTTGTGGGTAGATGAGATTTAGAAAACTCGGGGATTTTTGAAGCAAATGAAGCATTCGGGGCGGAGGAACTTGGGGGTAGTTGATAATGGCTCGAGGCTGGGCCACCCGTGGATGCAGCGTGATGCGAACAGACGCCAAACCAGTGTGCGTCATGGCCATGTCCACTTCATCCAGATCTAGCATCTCCAAGCCACTGGTGTGGCTGCTCAGACTCGGTTTAGGTAAGGGGCACGGATGCAAAAGTCGATGGGATTTTGCGGCTCTTGTTCGAACCGGGGGGGTTTGCATCAAGCTTGAAGGTGGATTGGGGGACAAAAGGCCTCGCAATAGGTCCCGCGTCGTGCACAGCCTCAGGCACCACGGGACCATCGGAGACCGCGGCCGACGCTGGTTGGTCAGTTTAGAACAAGGTGCCGAGGTATCAAAGCTAAATCGGACCCCCCTGCACGCGGAGTTTCTCCAAAGGCAGTTAGCTCGTATCTATCTAACCAATAGACGCTGGAGCGCCACGACTTTTTGGGCCCTTTTGTGGCTGATGATTGTCCACTTGGCTGCAAGTACGAGTTACCGAGTACTTGTACTTTCCTTCCGAGAAAGAAGAACGAGATGCGCTCTAACGAGTGCAATACGCGGGTATCAGGGCATGTACAATGCTTTCCTGTCGGAGCATGTGAAAAAGGGAATTGTGACTATATTACATAAACTTGTGCTTGTAGATGCAGAGATTGATGACAAGTTAAGGTGGATTAGCTGAGGTGATTTTGAGTGATTTGTTGGACCGCCTTGGTACTTGTACCCAGAGTAATATGTACTTGTACATAAACCCTTTTCAGACCAGCAACCAACCAAGAGACGGACCAAGAACCGGGCGACCGGGCAGCAGGATTACTACGCATCACTCTTCCATTGATTATTGTGGTCGAGAGAGGTATTGTATGTACAAGTGCTCTGTGCAAAATACAACAGTGGGTTTCGTCATAGGTACCAAGTACATAGGTGGAAAGCCACACTAATACGTGACTACCTCACAGCTCGGTATTCGGTACAAGTACGAGGGAGGGGAGTCGTATCTCGTACAAGATCATTACACTCGGCACTGTGGACCACCAAGCCCATCATCAAGCGAAAGACCTGGTCTACTCCGTATGTAGGTGTGGCTGGTCAACACCCAAGACACGCTGCCAATCGCCCAGTGCCTGCTAATATTAAGCGAACAAGGCCTACCAAAACGAACAATGCGTGTGTGGCTGTGTCCGTGTCCCATGCCCATGAATTCCAGTGACCAATGAATCCATCAAGGGAACCCTTTTTCCCATCTCGTCTCGTCTCCATCCATCCAATCTCCATCCCCGTTTCTTCTTCATCTGTTTTCGTTGTTCGATGAGTTTCCCAACAGTCCGGAACGGCCGTGGGTTCTACCAGGATTGCCGGGACAAAGAGTACCAAGACAAGTAAGGGCATCTACTCACAAGGTACCGAGTACTTGTACCCAATGGCGGTGCCTTTTTTTTTTTTGACGCTAGCTTTGCCCAGTCAGAATCTACAAAGCATAAGTACAAGCACAAGTACAATACCTACCTACGAGGGTACTCCCTCCGTACGAGTAACGAGAACATATCTCTTAGTAAGAGAGAGGATTGGTCCATCGCGTCTACCTCCACCTCCACCTCTACCTTACACCTTTCTACCTTTACAGCTTACCAGGACAATGTACTTTGCTCACGTATTACCAGCAGAGGGTGACAATGCCATGCCACGTCACGGACCTTGAGCCTCTCTTGTCTGTCTGGATTTGAATTGTCATCGACGCCCGTCCCCATCAAGTCCCCAACACCCAAAGTTAGAATCAATTCAATCAAAGCGCCACTCCGTCGCCCGCCGGCCTACGGGAAAACAGTTTGTGCGAATTTGTACCCGGTTTCTCCCCTCACCTCACCTCACTCACCTCACATGTCTCGTATGTGTCTGTCCACGGATCACCATGAGGCGAGATACACAAGTCCTCGGTACTGCTCGCTGAGTAGGGGCGATTGATGGCGAATGACGCAATTATTCGGGCAGAAACACCGGAAAAGGCACAAGTAAAGTACCGCCGAGTCTCGAGTACCGAGTCTTCGGTAATAATGGGCTTGGGGCTTGGTACTTAGAACTTGTTCGATGAAGATGATGTTGATTACTATTCCGCACATCTTCCGTGTCCCTAAGTCTACCAAGGATACTAAAGATGCTAAAGATGCTAAGGATAGGTATGTGATTAAGTGGTATAGTAACCTAGAACAAATCTCCTCGTACAAGACGCATACGAGGTATTCATGTGTATCTCGTGCTCGGGACAAGAATCCTCCGTGCATCAGCATGGCGGTTGTGAGACAATGACACGCACGGATACTTTTCTACCTCATACACCAAGTACTTGGGTACTTGGTACATGGGATATACCTGAGAAGATGCTCGTCGTGTACATGGGAAACTTAGGCTTGCTTCGCTTATCAATTGTAATTGTGCATCACAGGGCAATGCATCCTTGACTCGTCTCATTTGGTAACCCGTCACAGTCGCCTGCGCCTAGCCTGTGGTCCCCTGCACTCCAAAAAGCCAAATGTCTGCGCCTGCCGCTGCTTCTATACATATTCCATGCCATGTCCATTGGACGCCACACATGCTTGGCGTTGCCTTGCATGATGTTGTGGCACCACATTGGAGAATAACTCGACCATCGATTCGACGGCGGACACTAGTCTGAGCGAGGCATCCAGCGGCCGACACCAGTTCGTGATGATATGCCTGGTCTCCAAACAATTAAAGGGTGTACCGGTGCGCCCTGGCTCAACTCGATGCCTTGAGGACCGAAGTTAGGCTCTTGACAGTCCACGCGCAGGGGGAGACCTCCGAATCTGCCTCTGGCAGGTAGGGGGGGGGGGGGCGCGAATGGGAGAGCATGTCCGCCTTGAAGCCTTGTCTAAAAAGCGTCTCTTCAGGCATACCTTTTCTAACGCAAAATTGTTGATGGCGACAGCTAAAAATGGAGCCATTCGGCACCAATCTGCTGGATCGAGCCGGCAGATCCATAGGTGACAAATCGTATTCCAGAGAAAAGACAATCAGCTTCGGCCGTTCCTTTTGGCCTGTGACCATATGCCGGGGGACTGAATAGACTCGGTGCGAATCGTTCAACCATGCAGAAATACCACTGGGCGAATAATGTTGCCCCGTCACGTCCTTGTACTGTTGTCCAACATCTCCCCCATTCGAGTCTCGCCAGGAGGCCACAAGCTTATATCTGACGTATCAGTGAAGGGTAGATATTGCAATCACGGCAATTGTGCCGTGTAAAAAGTCGTCGCGTCACTAATCATACCACTCACATCCGGCAGCTGACCATTGCTTCGCTCACTCTCCAAGATGGCCATAAGTTCCATTTGTTGCTGGGAACTCAGGCTCTGCATTGCATAATTGCTGGGGCCACCTGCGTTGGCAGCTGTACCAGGATGCCCTCCTGCTACCGCTCTAGAAGACCCGTGTGAGCCCGGTGGAGGGAATGATTGCCCCATGTATCGACTGTACTCGTGACCAAAAGGGGCAAGGTATGGAAGGTCGTCGTAATTCATGTTGGGAGAGCCCGTCAAGCCGGGGATAACTCCTGGTATAAGAGGTCCAGCTGTCCACGAACCACCAGGACCCGCGCTGGCGCCGCTCGTTGCTGGGAAAGAATGTGGGTCAAAACCAGGCAGACTGTAGTGCATCGCTGTGGCGTCAATGCGGGGCAGTGTTTGGTGGCTGGTTGTAGGGATATACTGTTGTTGCGGATTGGTCATTGGTTGTGTTGATGTAGGGAACATCTCCGGTTGAGGCTGAAACGGTTGTTGCGCAGAATGGTCAATGTAGCCAGCCGCCGCGTTCTTAAAGTTGTGGTTGTTTGCTGTAGTGTGCACACTATGAATCGACTGGGGGGATTGAGCACCATAGATTGACGTATTTGTGGTACTGGCTGGACTGTTCGCAAACTGGGAAGCTGCTGCTGAGCTCAGGTCCTGTGTCGTTGTGGAAGAGACATAATCGGATTGCGAGGCAGGGGATTCCTTGCTGTCGGCTTCGTATGCCTTGAGACAACCAAACACAAGGTTCTCGTAGAGTTGTTGCGCAGAGCGTACCCCCGGCCAGCGGTCGGCGCAAAGGTCGATCGCTCTGAGTGCGTCCTGGATATGCACCTGGACCTCTTCCAAGGGATGCTGTTGTCTGATACCAGGATATGACAGGCACCAGAGCACTGTATTAAGCGCCATAAAGATGGCTTGAGTAAAAATCCAGGTAATATCGATCAAATGCCCTTCGACCTGGCGCTTCTGGAGCTGGATGTTGAACGTGGCTGCTGAATAGCATTGCTGGGCTGCGTAAAGAGAAGGACTGGGAATTTGCGGCGACGGTCGGTACATGAACACTATCATGGTGTTTTTGCGACCAATAAACCAGGCCTCGCTCAAGCCAGATCCCTCGTCGTTCTTGGGGCAATCCCGGAACCAGTTGTCGATCTTGGTTAGCATTTGGTGAAACCACGGATCTTGATCATGCACAGGTGCCTCTCGCTTCTTCAGGTATAGAGTCCGCCTGATCTCGGCCTGCAGCAGCCTCATCTTGAAGAAGTGGATGGAGATGCACTTTTTCATGATTGGATGGTGACCTGTAAGCAGTCCGTCTGCACTGATATACTTATCGTCGCAAAGTTCGAAAAAGTTGACGTTGATGTTGTCGACAGTTACACCAAAGGCACTCGGCCTGCCGAGACTGTGGGCAAGTCCATA